ACACCACTGAATGTGGTAGTGATGCATTCATTTTGTCCATTATACTGAAGATTCTAAGATATGAGGTGAATGAAAGCGTCGGGTAGCAGTCTATATACGGATTTCTTAAAATTTGTGAGTGTTGGTCTGCAAGCCGTTTCCGAAAACGGTGGTTTTAAAAATTTGGGACATTTGTACCGTCCAGGTCTTTCGTCGAGGAATTTACTTGAACAATTTCCTCCTATTTCGTGTGGAAGTCAACGAACATATAGCTCGAAATCCCCACACAGGACTAGTAATTTTGTGAACGGATTAAGTTTTAAGTGGGTTCTTGACTGCTCTCTAGTATTCGGAGCTGCCCTTGACCAGGTCTGCCATCTGGTGGTCCATCAGCGGCCAGTTGGGATGGCAGCGGACTATAGACTTGTTCAGCCCGGTGCCGAGTAACAAATCTCCAATCAAGAGATGTGTCCATTATGTAGAGTTCTCCGAAACCAGGCCGTCGTCTACAACATAGAGGGAGCCACATCAATGGAACAGCTTCTGGGGTGTCCATCTGCTGGATGCTTTGCTCATTCGCCTTGGACGTAGTTAACAGTCGCCTGCCGTGTGTCGTCTGGTGCCTTATCACTTGTTGATTGGTTGTCAATGCGGGATTATGGTGCTCCCGGCTGACTTAAGTCCGTCCTCGGCCACGTGGATTATCGATGCAGTAGACCGGTGGAATTGACAATTACCTTTGGAAGCAGCTTGCAGTGTTCTGGAAACGAAGATAGGAACCGGTGGTCACATATATGTTCCTGTACATGCGTGTCGCAGATGCCAAAACTTCTTTCTTGATCTGTCCTTACTATTGCTCAACCAATGTCACCGACTGAGACACATTAATTACAACTCATTTTTGGTATCATAGGAATAGTGATGAAAACTTCTCTAATACCGTGGGTCGAAGCATCAGCTGTAATCACAACCTCTAGCTTTGGTACATAATGTTTCAGCAGAGGGTGAAAGCAAAGTTGGCTGAAGGCTGCATCGCACTGGCTAAACCAAATTCAGGCCACATCCTTTCTATGTAAGCTGTCTATTGGTGGGCGGACGTTGTGCATTTACGATAGGACCGGTTAGCAACAGGTGGTTTATTCCAGTATAGAGCGAAGCGAGTGCATCTCCTTAGGTGTCGATGTCTAATGAATGTCGGAGACGTTTTCGATCTCTGAGTGGCTATCGAAGATAGCTACGATGGAATTAAGATAGTTGGCGAAATGCAGGAAATCTAAAAATTACGTGAACCATAAGAGTCTCGATATAAATTTGCTAGAGAATGTCATCTGTATACGTGAAAAGCCATCCGACTCGCTAAAATTAGCAGATCATTACGATGTGTTGCTACACCTGGAATGCCTGACAGAAGGGTTCCCACAATATGCTTAGAGGTAGCCTAAAGTGTCTCAACTCAGAAAAAGAGTCGGGTATTGAAAATTAGCACTCTGCAGGAATCAAGAGTGACCCGAGTGTAAAGTTGAAGGGGACGTTGCAAATTGTGTTGAGCAGAATTTTTTGGGCTAGCTCGGTGGCGGTGACAAAACAGGACCTACCAAAAGGTGTACCACGAACTACAGCATGACGTTGAGAAAGAACGTCCTCATATCGTCGAAATACATTACGAACATTACACATTGAATAAGACACTGCAAACAGGCTATGCTACTTTTAATTCTATCAACCGACAGTGTGCAAATTGAGGTGATCAAAGTTGATGCTGTGTCCTAACGCTTCGCTAAATAGCCTCTCGAACTTCTACTCTGGTCTGTTGTCAGATTCTGCTCAAAAGTAACCATGCTTGTACTCACTAAGCAAAGGGGATGCACAGCGTTCCTGATTAACGCAATTCGTCAACTTGTTGGTGCAAAAGCAATGACTTGACCTCGTGGAGACAAGTCGCACTCTCTTAGCCAGAGACCAGGACACACTCCTAAATGCATCCAATTGTATCCACTTTGGGTGACTGAAACAGTATTTACCCTCAACAGCTTGCATTAAATAGGTATTTGCCATGTTTCTCATGTTTAACCGTTGGTTTTCTGGTTCACGATGAGCGCGATTATCATTACATGTAAATTAAAATTGGATTTTCACTTGCAAAAACAGGTAAGCTTTTAATTGATGGGAAAAATTTTTTAAAACCGCTTAGTGCAGCCGAGGTCACGCAAAAGCTAATACCAAGTCTAATTTGACTTCATTATTCTCATTTCGTCGACAATTCAACTTAAATTAAGCCTTGTTAAATGCCAACGAGGTTAGAAAATCGCAATTTTGATAAAAGTTAGTGTTGTTGGTTCAGCAATTTAGCTACCTTTGTCAATGCAATGCAGGACTTTCTAACAATTCCTCGTCAATTTCGAGCCCTACACCTTCTCTGTTAAAAACAACTAAGGAACGACTTTCGCTTAAAACAATCTGGCTCCAAGACCAAGTTGAAATGCGGGAATCGCAATTTTTGCAACCTGCCACTTAACACGACTCATGACGAAGTTGTCGTGAATCGTGTTTATTCACACCTCTTAATCCGATCACTTCGCCTCCGACACAGGACTCCCCTTTTTTTCGCAGCATGGCGCCAGCCGCGCAAATCCTCAACTCCCCCTTCATTCACACGACCATTTATCTTGGATTAACCTCACACCTAGGTCTCGACGTTAGCGCAGTTATGACTCACACATCCGAGCTACAAATACACACGCACAAGCCCCACATTAGACCATAGCCTCGTCAAGTTCTCGAATAAACGGTTGACTCTCTGTCCTTCCATCGACTTCAGTTTTGTTGGGTAGTTAGTGATATATGGCGTCTCAACAAGGTCAACAGTCAAATGAATTAATACAGATAAACTTATTACTCTTCCCTTTTGTACTCATTTCTCGCCTGTTTGATGAGGTAATGTGCGTCATCATTAGGGAACTAAATCACAGACTCCGTCTGACACTATAGTTTATGTGGAAACATTTTCTGCAAACTTCAAACAACTGATCCAGCTGCCTTTTTTCAATTAAAGCTTAATTTCCTTGTTAAAATACTCAATACACTTTTCTTCTAATTTAACCATCAGCTATTTAGCAGTTTAGTTATTCCCTTTTACATTTCTCAAAGGCTCCTATGCTGTACAGAAGCGCATTTAATAATTATCCAAGGTGTTCCATTCTAAATTTAGCCATTAAGCTCCATCGATGGATTTAGCATTCAATGACTCCTTTTACCAACTGAACAGTTTGTCTGGGGGAACATTGTGATGTTTACTCGTTACTTTATGCTGAGATCCGTTACGCTGGACCCCAGAAATATACACACTGTTGTGATGAGATTAAATTAAATAATGTTTAGAAGGCACTTTATTCACAGGGGCCGGGTACACTTTAACAAACTTAACAAAGCACTACACATCTGGTGCCTCCGAAGTTTGCTTCTCAATCTGCCTCACTTGCAGAGGATTCAAGTTAAGCATTAGGCTAAAGCATGCTGTGCCATTTCATGGTAACTGGGTCTCCTGCAATGACACTTAGGTAAAGCAATAGGATTTGTTTCACTTAGTAATCAAGCGCCATCATGGCTGCATGCGATCATGAATACCTATGCGTACGTAAGGCGTGATCTTCCCATTCAAACTAGAAGACAATCTATAATGGCATAAAATCAACGTTAAGACCTTTCGAAATTCCCTGGAACTAGTTAAAAATGGAAAAACTTATTCACTGTTAAATCATGCATGTCCTCGAAAGAGTGGGACTTATCGAGGGGTAATCCAAGTTTGGTACCGTGACGCGCGCACTCGGTCAGTGCACGCCAGTCTGGCCTGCTGGTCAACCCTCACCACCTCCGCAGCTACTTTCTCCCTGTTCCCCATCTAACCCCTCTGCCTTTGCGTTCGATAGTTTGGAGTACTTTTACTAGTTCTCTGTCGCATGCCCGATAGTCAAGGACACACTGATATGCCACCCACTTGGATCCCAACTCGATAGGCACGTAAGTGCCAACATAAGGTCATCCGGTCGCAAAACTATTAGCCCCCAAGCATAATTCGTTTAAGTTTTCACTCAACAAAATTCCATAAGATTCCATCCATTTTACGGTTTAATACTTAACAACCTTTGGCAGAATTATGGCTCCTTTTTTCAGGCTGCCCTGTTCTCAATACCTGATTTTCCAAATAATCACCATAAGCAAATCCCCGAAGACTGCTAAATAATCAGTTCAATTAAGGTGTTGGGTTTTTCAACCCAATAACATTACAAAGCTGACAAAATATGAAGCCAAAACCTGTGAACATCACGCAGACGATGCCAAGGGTAATGAAGCCACGGTATACTTCTGCGCCTAGGATGGCGAAAGCTGGAGTGGCCGTAACAAGACACCGAGTAAATAGGTTCCCATAGAAATCGGAATTTCGCAGTTATTTTGATTGCGTGGGGTGCTTTTCGGAAAGTACATTATTGGTATTCGTGGTTGACTTTACACACACAACCAATATGCCATCAGGTGAAGCCCAGGTGTTAAACACGCCCGTTATCTTGTTGGACTGTTATGGTTTAGTCGTGAAATTGCAAGAATCGGAGGGAAGATGAATAGGCTTTGGCACACGACTGTATCGGTTTCTCATGTAAGGCTTCCAACAAAAAATCTACTTCCAACCAAACATCCCGTGAAATGAGGATAATTTCCACCCAGTAAAATACTGATTTTAAAGAGTAGAAATTGGTGATTATATAATGTGCCAACAAACAAAAAGCACGTCGATAACAGTTACTAGTTGAGTGTGGAGTACCGAGACTGGATCCAGCCTAATCCTTCTTCTTGCCTTCAGAATCTCCACCAATGGCGGCAAGTTTTTTCTAAAGCAAAACGGGAATATTGCGATTTATTCTCATGACCGATTGCCACTATCGGCGTCGATAGCAGAGGGCTAATTGGTTGGATAATTCATTCACAACCAGCCAAGCGTCGTCCACATTATCAGTAAATGATGTTAGCTAAGAAACACTATTGTACATGCCTAACAGGACATCTACATTAATGAAAGCATCCCACGTTCCACAAAATGATGAACGAACCTGCAGTTGCTGGCATTCCGCCGTAACACGATCGTACTCCTTTGTTGCCTGTTTCGCCTGCATGGTAATCGCTTCAACTTGCGTCTTGGCACGCTTGTGTGCTTGTTAGGGGGGAAAAACACGCGGAACGTTAAAAAAAAGATTGAGTAAGCATAACTTAAGCAAGCCTAAGTCGCCACTCTACCTGCTACTTCTGTCTCTAATTGCTCCTTCAGATCGTTGATTTCGCCACGCAGTTTAGTTATCTCCACCTGTAAAAGCCAAGAGTGCAGGTTATGGGGGGGGGGGTTAATAAATAATGGTTACACATTCGCATCTTGTTTATTTAGCCTTTTGAAGCAAAAAAGCACTTTTTCAAATGCACTTTTTGCTTTAATTAGGACACTGATGACGAAGCAACCCTCTGGGCGTGTGAGTTACCAGCACACGAGACACCGACTTGGGAATAAAGCCTAAAATTGGTAGCAAGATGCCCGGCTCCATACACCCGCACACGCGCACCTCTGCTTTGCTTCCTTTGTGAAGGAAACCTTGATAAAAAATAACATTTACACAAACCGTAGTTGTTTGTTTGCTGCTGACCCTGCTGCTTACTAACAGCCTGTAAGTAGCCCTGAGTCGCACTTATGGTTAATCTTAGTGCAGTCATCTTATGGTTCGAGGTGACTGCCGATGGTTGGCTACTTTCAAATGCTCACCTTTCCGAACTGACTACAGGAAATCGGTAAAGCGATGTTAACTTCATCTTTTTCAATGAATGCATGTTCCATCTTCTGTACTTAGCCTGCATGTAGTATCGGGCTGGTGGAAACATCTTGTCCGTATATTACAGATGTTTAGGTAGCAGCTATGGGCCGCTCTATTTTACGAATTATCTTGCAAGCGAACATTACTTTTGGACCAACCTGATGTATCTTCAAGGTTGATGTTGAACCCTTATAAAAAATTTATCCGCTACGGAACGATTTCTTAAGAAGTGACCAGATTTGTTAAACAGACGAATCCGTTTGCCTTGTTCACTACTGCCAAGCTTAATTGCTCAATGACGATCATAATGCGCAGCAGCCTGCTACAGCGTTTCACCAAGAAATCCTGGCAACGCACCTCGAGGTGGCCTTCTGTGTCGGCGGAGGAGCTACCAGAGGTCGGGCTACCAGACATGAGGCGCTGGGCGGCCTCAGTTGCGGACTTGGCTTGGGCCAATGAGGCTTCGCCAGCGACAGTTACCCGGGCGTGATCCGCGATCAATGTCACCAGGCGCCTGAACACACTGAAAGCGGCAAGATGGCAACAAAAGGCTGATTAACGAATTGCAAAATGCCAGCTGTGAAACAAATGAATCCTAACACGGCTTGGCCTGAAGTTTGACATCGATCTCAATAAAGCGATACAACAAAACGGTAAAGACTGCGTTACGTGGGAGGTAGTGCCGTGAAAGATGAAAAGTCACAATGGTCGATTCCGGGTCAGTTGCAATATTCAAAAGGCCCGATTACAAACTGATTAAATGGAGTGTAAAGCTGGAACAAAAGAGTCAGATAACTTTGGCACAAACATCTTTAAACACTTTTCATCAAGGTGCTTGAAGGGTTACTATAATGTGCGATTGGTCTCCTGGAGCATTTTATTAGCAGCATTATTTGGAGGTTTTTCAGAACCATAAATAATAAAGAGTTGATTCTGAGAATAAATTCGCATTTACAAACCCCCTGCACTAATGTTGCCAATTTGTAGCAAGGTGGTTCCATCTAGATGCAACACGGACGCTCGATTAAAGCGAAATAGGCGCCGAATGATCGGTAAACAGTTGACTCGATATAACCGTCTCCATAAGAAACGGTGCACAGACGACGCGCTAAGAAATTAAGGGCCTGTCTCGTAAAGAGGGCAGTTGTTCAAACTCACAACCAGAGAAATAGAGAAAATCCCGAGATGTAGAGATTCCTTTGGGCTCTGAACAACTTCATGAGGTAGACCGACTCGGTTTCCGGTTTGTAGAGGCTTGGATTGGACTTCAGCTCCTGGTAGACTTTGTTTTGTGCACTCACGTGTCGAAGAGCCTCTGGACACGAGCGAAGAAAGTAAATTGGTTAGTAATAAGCTAGTTTGACGTTACCATTAGGGGTTTGCAGCTCAACTACCAATTGGAGTAAGAATGGCACAAGTGGAACGTAGTAAGATATAGGCTACGAAACGTTTCATCATGTTACTGTTGGACAATAACCAATGAATACTGTAGCGTGATAGGAGGAAAAAAAGTATCGGAATGGTAAATGATAATTCATTGTGAAATTTAAGCACTTGAGGAATCGATTTGAATGGCCGATATCTGTAATTAGCCAAAGCAACAAATAAAATCATCAGGTGCTTGGAATGCTCATTCTGAAAAAGGGGCCGAACTGAAAAGTGTTCACCATTTGCCAAGTCAAATCATGATATAAAACCAACCAACAACACGGAGAAAATTGCATATTTCAGACAGAGGTATAAAGTGGATTTCATAGGGGTCACCATCACACTATTTGAACACGATACATCTATTTTACAAGGCGTATGTATGAATGCAGAGTAAAACAAATGCATAAGCTTTAAGTACCAGATAAAAAAATGACTAACCAATGAGCATAAGACCGAGGATAATGAGACATCCGTTGAAGTACAACGAAGCATAAGCTGTGAACATACCGACGAAGCGGGACTTGAAAATGCGGTTCCATCTGAGGCATATAGAATAATCGAACTGAAAATACCAGCAATTTAACTACCAATGACAGTATGAAGAAAGAGCTTGAAGCAACTTGATTTTACCCATTTGTCAATCCTAGAGATTCCATTTAAATTAAGTTGACACCACTGCTGAAACCTTTTTGCATTGGCAAAACCATTTGTAAGTAAGCGTAAATAAAACTAGCTAATTGCACGTATTCAAGTATAGCCATATCCATTTGGCGACGAAATGTGCGTTCAGTGAAAAAAACGTACGTTTTTGAGGAAATAATAGGCAGGAGCAGAAGAGTAATGACTGCAGCCTCGGTGTATAAAAACGCAGCCGTAAGAGTCCACAAAAATGACATTGGCTACAAACCAAAAGCATGAGCTTAGACTTACTTAATCAGATATTACACCCTAACACATTAGGACGAAAATTATTTCAGATGAAGGGTACTTCAAAGAGTTAACACACAACGATGAACTTGACTGAAAAGTAGGGTACACCTTTTACTTAACCGCATAACAAGACCAACAATAATGGTAACATAATGGACGCTGCAATTATCAGGCAAGATCTAAACTAATTAAATTTGGATGCGTGAATGAGAGCAGACATCGCACAGTTTTTTAAGAACAATGGCATTCCGGCATTTTCGGGGAAGGCGGTAAATGAGATTTGAGGGGCTATCCAAGACAGTAGTTCAAAAAAGACCACCTATTTTTGGTTGCTTTACACCTATTCAGCTCCGGTAACGAGAAGTAAATAATAACTTTGTTTAATTAACAATGAAAAAAATTATTAAAATAAAACTCGAATGAGGATGGAGCATCTCAAAGAAGGCAAGCTCCAACAGAAGGAGGAGACCGGATATCAATTTCCGGAATCATGAGCAATACAAACTTCATGCAGCATAGCATAATGAATAAAACGTTTTGGATGAAGTGGCTTATTTTTTAGTATCACTCTGTAAACAATGGCGACGGAAGATGTGCATCTTGATAAGTCTAAGCGGGTGTCCAAAATCAGGATACTTTTGCGGACAAATCCGCAGTTGAGGTTACCTAGTAAATATGCACTGGCGGCAACAACGAGGGCCCTTTGAAACAAGACGTAAGATAGCGGAGTAATTTCTGTGAAGGATAACGTCTAGGTCTAACACGTCAGCGTAAAAGTAAGCAACGGAAGACACAACATACATGAGCAACATTATGTATGTAAATGCTGATAAACTTTCTGAATTTTAGTTCATAAACGTGATGCATATAATGTAGCGACCACTGAGTCAGCAACTCCACACCAATGGAAACCAAATATTTCATTCTAGTCGTCTACGCATCACTTAACTTATAATTATATGAAATCAGAAACAATTTATGCACTTAGACATGGTTATGGTGATATTCATTAGACAATAAAAAATGCGAGACAGAGCGACAAACACACAAGCACTAAACGACCAGCCGACTGCAGACGCGAAAGCAATGACTTAAAAGGTAACTTGAATAAGACGCAAGTTCAAACAACTGACGTGGAAAGGATACTTTAATCTTGCTAGTGTTATTATACTAAGCTTTGAACACGTCATATTCTGTGTTATCATTTTAAAACGCGTTAACTAAGGTGAATAATGGCATATTGCCACGAAACAAAAATCGCTCTTCTGGTAAAACAGTATTATTGGAGTTATTAAAATGACCAGCACTAGTAAAGTTTGTTATAAGAAATTTCATTACTAAAATACTTTAAAACTTAGCTACTTTCTTATCCATTCATGAATATGTGAAATTCACTTAATCCACTGTTCAAAACTACCACCGATCATTTAAGCACAAGTCCTGGTGACACTGGTTTTCCTAATCAACAAGTGAGACGTTAGGGTGTGTCATCTTTGTGACATTTCCCATTTTTTAAAAAAAGGGTTGGTCATGTACATTGTGGCCAGGTAACAGCGGATATTTGTTGAACAAGGATTCATTGAACTTTTGTCTTTTCAAAGACGCTTTCATTTTCTAACATTTAGCAGACAAATTATTCTCGAGTCTTAAAGCATATTTAGTTAATTTTTACGTTAGTTTAAAGAAAAGATTCAAACAAATATGTTAGCTCATAAAAAACCAATATGGGGAAAAAGTACAAGAAAGAGATTTTACTAAATAATAGATATATTCTTGCAGTGAAGGTCGTTTTAAGTTTATATTGAACAGTGTTTTGTAGTTAGTTTGAAAATCGGTTAAAGCTTTGATTTTCATCAAAAATGCATTTATGACATAATGAGAATGTGCAACAGTGCTATCTTTAAATTGATGGCTGCTAGAATTGAAATACCTATTATTTGGTACAGTAAAGAAGTCGATTTTTAATATTTTAAACCACTCTGTTGATTTCATAACAATAGCCTTGCTGCTGCGTTTATCACTGCGGAATGAAGTGTGATATGTAAAATACTCGAGTCTTAGTATGAGGATGAAAGGTTAAGCAGAGTAGGCTTTCCTGACCAGCCACAATCCGGGACCTCTGACTCCTCCATACTGGATGGATCACCCATCATGTCTATCCTTCTCTCTGGGTGACTGCTGTTTTTTCTTGTAGGCCGTCAAAGGGCACAAATCATTAAACAGAGAAAAAAGCCATAATTGTTTATTTGGTTTCACCAGCATTTCACTTTCTTTTCAAATGCTCTGCTTGTTGTAACCCGTAACTACGACCTGTGCGTGTTTTAGCATGTTGCTGGCATTTCATTGCTATCGAGCACTTCTGCACCATAACTACATTAATCAAAGTGTTAACTTCGAAAAGGAGGCCTTTTTAAAAGCCTTGTTGAGAGTGTTTGCCTAAACAGTACCCGTGTGGTAGGAACTGAACAGTCAGAATTGATTCTCCTCAAATGAGGTCAAGTTCAATCCTGGTTTCTTCGCAATCACGCAATTCTAAAGTTTGGGGGAATTTTGTTCAAATTTTATTTTGACTACAGTTTACACTTTGAGTGATGCTTCCATTAAATAATGTTCTTCGATATTGGGACAATTCTAAGACCAACTAAAGCGTTGTCACTCTGTACTCCCTCTTCCTTCACATCGTAAATTAGGCCATAAATGCCAGTTTAAAGGTTAAAAATGACGCAAAATAATTTACTTAATGGTATGAAAACACGTGGTTAAAATACCACAAACCTAATACATCAATAGATCTACGCAAAATGCAGAAAATATATACACTGACAACAAGCAAATCAATAAAAATCTTTAACGGAAATGTATAATGAAAAAAAATATCCTGTCGACGGAGTGGCAGCATGTCGGGCTTCTAATCATTCTTATCTGTAAAAAAATATTTCAAGCAGTGAAAAATGTCAAAGTCTATGCATAAAAGAAAGCAGAAAGAGCTGTTTTAATATTTTGTTTTAAAATTAGGCTCCGACTTTTGAAACCGCAATCTAATCGATAGCAGTGAAATTAACATTGAGCCACGCCACTTTATAGACAGAAAATTTTAACCCGCATTAATGGCGCATTCTATTTAGTTTAACAACCTCTAAATTAAGATTTTAGAACTTACGCAAAAATCGGTGTTTATTTGAATTTCAGGATTGCGTATTTTAGAAAACGCGACGAGGTGGTCGCTCCACACTTGATTCAATTTGGTTTCCATTACGTTTTGCTGTCGGTGTTGTCTGGATCTACGACGGGAGTGGTCGTAACTTTAATCAGTTCTAGATGCGCTAAGCTGCCGGTGATCTGTGGTTGATGATAGTTATCATACCATTCGATGAACTAAAAAGAAGAGTCGTATTGTCAGAAGTAAATTTTGGTCCCCATATATATATTCTGCTTTAAATGAGGTTATACTAAGATGACTAGTTTGACTGCACTCTTTGCCTGAAATATGAAAAAGTTCCTTGTTTAAATTTTTCGCTCTCTAAAAAACAATGGGAGACATGTGGCATCAATTAACTTACCCACCTACAACGCTTCCTGGGCCGATAAATTATTCACATGCATTTACAAAGCAAGTGACTATTTTACACACTACCACAGATTTACCAAAATCAGCATTGAATAGACAAAACTGTAAGCAAACTATGGCTTTAATACGAACTGGAGCTTAGAACAACGACATGGGGAATTAAACCACAGGGAAATCTAAACAATGTGGCACGAAAAGGATAAGGAGTTGTTTGAACCCTGTCAAATAAAAGTAACAGACTTGTCGGGGTGTAAATTTACAACCCGAAGCATTAAAATGCGTTTACTTATCAGAATGAGAGTGTAAGTTTCTCATATCTGGTGGTTGGAGTGTTTAAACCGGTAGAGTTCGGGGACATGATCCAGTTTAGTGCTCCCATCTTCCTAATACATTTTTTTCTTCTGCGCAAACAAACTGCATAGCCCTTCGTTATTACATATTGCCACCCCAATTCTCAGTAAAATATGCTATTGCCACATTGAGCGATTGTCTCAGTTCTACGTGAGTCCATTTTTAAGCAGAAGTAACTCCAATCCATTGAACCTCCGATCCAAAGCTACTTCGTGCCATCAAGCAGATGAATCAATTTAAGGGAAAAGTGTTCAAAATTATTGTTCGCTTTCTAAGAAGGTGCAAACAGAAATCATGAGATTTTCTTCGAAAACCATGACGTCATAAGTGAAACCCAGTTTCGCATCCCAAACATGGATTTCACTCAACCATTTGCTTATCCGAAATAAACACTCTACTTGAGTGTGTGAAAGTAGTTGTATCCTACAATCTCTCGTTTTCAGTGTTAAATATAGCCAATGCGTGGGATATGAAACTAGAGTCCGAAGATTTAACTGCGCCGCAATGCATTCAAAGGTAGTAACGGCCAGGTTTTTTGTGAATCCACCTCAAGCTGGGATAGCGGAAGCCAACATTTTCGCTGAGGTACTCGGTATCTCCATAACCATGTTTTCTTCAGCCGCAAGTCGTTAATCCTTTTGACGGTCAACTCGCATTTGAATTTCAAGCATATCAGTACAATCTTTAGGGCAATTAATGGAGATATCTTCATTATCTTCTTGTGTTTTTTTTTCAATTTTCCATGTTTCACAAGCAGAAACATGTGTAATCCCAGGGAATCATGCGTATTTTTTTTTAAATAAACCAGTTTCTAAATACAGTGTGGACCAGCCGTGACAGAACCTTATTATGAAACAAATAAGCGACTAATGTCCTAAACGTAATAATTATATGTAGTCCCAATATGACATAATCCAAGATTTACACACTTTCGTTCCATTAATTTATAATTTCGGCAGTAGTATTAGTAGTATTGCAGAAGCAGAAATTGTTCCAGTGGAGGTAAGCAACCTGTGTCCTCAGGTCATCCAGAATGGACTTAGAATAGTTTATTAAAACCTAGATCGATTGGAGAAGCTCTGCCTGATAATCACTGCTGTGCCAGAAAGCTTAGGAAAGAACTGATTGATACCCGAACACAGGTTAACTCTCTCTTCAGTATACCATAGTTCTACAATTGCAAAATCAGAATTTTGTCGCAACTATCCATTATCACAAATGTGCTATCAGTCGCTTAATCTTAGAAATAACTACCACCTCTTTTGTTTGTAGAGACGATTTCACGTGATTCCCACCAGGTGTCGACCGTTGAAGCCATGCTTTGTGCAACGCACATCCTGTCCAAGTATTCGAGCATCTGAAATGCGAATCAAACTGCTTAGTGATCAATAAAGATAGATTTCCCATTCGACTACTTTGTTATGATGCCGTGTTTTGTCTACGAACAGTAAATCCGAGAACACTTAAGAAACCAGCTGATGTTAAATTAGCTGCCTTGGTGGGCCTGGAAGCAATATTTTTACTTTGTACATCCCTCACCTAATCATCATCCTCGTAAAAGGTAAAAGGTGCGTGGTTCTCGTCAGAAATCCTACAAACAAACAAAAAACTAAGTCACAGTTTATTCGACTTATTTGACTCATGTCTGGCATGATTTTATTGACGTGACATTTAATATATTATGTCAATTTCCGTGTCTGGAATTAAGTCTAAACTCAAGAACTCAACCAACTGTGCACTCACTCTCGCACGAATACCTCATATGGACAGGATAAGAAAAAGAAGCTTAGTCATGTGATTCCTGTTGACTTTTACCCTGACTGCTACGGACTTCATTGTTTCTAACCTGAGAACAGCTGTCCCCACTGATTTTAATGGCGGTAAAGGCAAAAATCGGTCAAATCTGTTCCCATCTCACGGCAGAGTTGCTCCTGAAGACGTAGTTGGCAGCTTGATATTAATAATGACACAAAAATTATAAATATCTGCGCATAAAGCCAAACGTGGCTTGTCCATCGATGTTTGATAGCCACTTAGATCACTCTGTATCCAAAATGTGTTTGTTAACCTTTCATGCTAGTAGCACAAAATCGATCCACAGCCTCCGCGTTAACCAAGGGCCTGGTCAACCTCCCTTTTCTTGTTTGCTGGCACTTGTCTGCTGCATCATAACTCCTCCGCTGTGTCCCTGTGTGTGTGACGCGGCGTCATTGGTGAAGTAAACATCAGGACATGTGCGGGATCTTTTTAACCCTCGGGAGTCCCGTCCACCACTGAAAGCTCTTTCGTGAGCCCTTCGTCAGCAAAAGAGGGAACTCGTAAGTAGAGGCTACTGCTGTCGGCGGGCATCAGAACCACCACCATTTCTTACCTGACAGTTTGTGAGGTGTGGATTTGATCAGATTCGGGGGGCGGCACATCACCCATTCACAAACTAAAAATTTACAGAGACTTGCAGTTTTTCAGTGTCTTTACAATAAGTAGAGGATTAACAATTGCCAAAATAGCATAAAAGTCAAATCTACCGCCTCGATTCTTTGGATCTTTACAAGAACAGGCTTGATTCTATTCTGAGTCTGATCAAATTTTCTCAATTATCTAATATTTTTCGACCGCATACCATCCTAGGTCAATGGACACGGTAGAACATTTTCGTAGTCATGTGAGAGTTCCGCAGTACACTGGACTAAAGTGTTACCTCCATATTTGTTCGGAACGAGGTCAGCTCCAAAGTAATGGCTAAGATGGCTCTGGGAACAAATCATAATTTGTCAGGACAAATTGTCATCACGGCAGCCTAAGCTGCTGGGGCTAGATCAACGAAGATAGGCTGATGGCTTACAGAATCCGACGAATACGCTTGTTCATCCTACACGATGCGGTTTCTCGGCTACTTCATTAAACCCGCAACGGACTTTAATGAAAAGTGAGGACATGTCGTGTCTTTAGCTAGGCTGTATGTCAATGCACACAAAACTTACTCTAAAGATGTCCTTATTGGCCCTTCGTACCTCGTTGTGGCCACAATCCTTGGACAAATTCTGGTGTTAGGGTCATTTCTAACTACTTTCTTCGAAAATTACACGGCCAAACTAATTTGCCAAAGTAGCTGTTTGACTGGCTAGGACACAGCAGGTGAGGTGAATGCCACTGGGGCACTAAGAGTCTCTGACTTCCAAGTTTAACGTCAAGTGTTTTAATTTCTGCGTTTAAACTATACCTAGGTTTATCCTGAGATCAAACCTTTTGCGTGGTTTGTCTTGTTCTGCAACTTTCTTCACAAGGAGCCGTGTAATAACAAATATTTTGCGCTATAACAACCACCAAACTACATGATAACATTTCCGGCTGACTTACCATGCCGTGGACATTTACGGTTTCCTTTTAACACTTCAGAGAACAGCAGCTTGTTTGAGACTACAAAAAAATCAATTTACTAATCAACAATGTAACACGCTCAAGCCATAGGCTGATATCAATTTAGCCTTAAGATGAACAAACTGGAGTTGTGTTGCAAAAACTAGGATATCACCAAGAATCTTGGCTTACCGCATCTGGCACCGTTTTATTAATTACCTACCGCCTGACTGATGCGAATTTCTTTATCCATTTGCTTCCCAGGTGTCTAAAATGGGATAAACATCTTAGTCGATGCGTGAATAGTGAAAATACCAGCATCATGTGAAGTCTTCTGAGGTTTTAGTCAATTAATTTCATTATATAAAAGTTAGATATTAATGCTGCCTCTAAAAGGGCATGATACCTCGTGGCTTTTGGGATAAATGTGGAAGATTAAATAACCCCAATGTTGGCGCACAGACGTGTGTGACAGTATTTTAAGGAACGTGGTAGAGGTGTATAAAAACTTTATCAGGCAACATACTGATACGCAATTTACAATGCAGTAAATACTGATCTAGACGGCCTGTGATGGAGTTGATGCGTTGATGATAGGAATAGCGATGCGTTTTGGTGAACAAAACAACTTGCACTTTTGAATATCCGAATCTGGAGTTAAGTCCATAGTTGTTTGTTGTTGCAAATGGACCCTATGGAATCTTAAGGACCGCGTTTTATCTCATAAAACTTATATTACACCCATGAAAGCATAGTTTAGTTGGCAGGTAATCACTATTTCGGAAGCATAATGAATGTACAGATCATTTTTATCGTTTTTAAAGTCAATTCGTTTTTAATACTGCAACCTACCTTATTAAGAGCGCTCTTTGCCGCCTGATCAATCTGAAATGCAAGAAGTAGCTTGAAAGAATTAGTTGCTAAATAATCCGTGATAATCGAGACCTTGTGGAGTGGCCGTTCAATGAATCACAAGGAGCCGTTTAGATGACATTGGCTAAACTAACCTTTGAAATGTCCATTTGAACGCACAAACGAATGTGCCTTATTTTGACTGGCACAAAGTCAGTCTGCACAGTTTTATACCCAAAGAGTTTGGCATATGAAACACAATGAGAGTCCCGTCACGTGGTCTTGTACCACACGTCGGGGCTGCTGAGCTGAATTGGCTCGTTTACGCTACACCGAGACCCTCGAAGATAAGAAGACTAGAGCCGGAAGCGACAACCGTTTACTAGGGAGCTAAACTAATTCGAGTCTGAATGATGGGTGATGTTGACGAATACAGGCTGGGTGAATCTGTTATTGTATAAATGGTCCACACAATCAGCAGTACGAAATATTTGCTGCATTCGCCTGTCTCCACACGGTGAAATAGCGGTTCGGTTATCTCAACCAGGTGTTTACTGTCATCTTCATGTTTAGGAAACCCGAAGACGCTCTGTCATCTCACACAAAATTTCTCCGTACACTTAATCCTAGTCTAGCGTGGAAATAAATAGCTTTAAACTTGACTAAGAACTTATACAGCGCCTAAATAACGTTTTTAAATTCATGCACTTTTGCTAATGTGACTAACATTGCAAAACTGTTAAATTTATTGAAGCTTTGGTTCACTCTTTAAAGTGAGTCCAACATAAAATTTGCCTACTGGGATGTAAAATGTAATGAAACAGAGCTTGTCCGATTTCTGATTCGTGTTGAAAACTTCATAGTAAGGAATGTCCTTAACGGTGAGCTAATTAGGACTGGCGAAGCAAGTACCAAGCGTGGTTATTGCCCACATGTTTCCTTTTGCATACTCTCAAAATTATCTTTAAAATTTGATTGATGGTTGCTCCGACAAGCACGGAGCTAATGTAGCACGAAAGACAGGCAACATCTCTGCAGCAAAGCCCATGAACTTGCATCTGACTAACCTCATCCTATCAACTAAATTCCCATCTCCTGAATACCTGAATTTTTGGCACCGTAGTCGGAACAAAATAGTACAGGCATGTTAATTAAGAAACGACCAGTTAGCATATTTGAGCATCTCCACGTTTTTATTCATTAGAAGGTAATTCTGGTACAAGTGAAATAGGGTCAATTAATTAGTCAAGAAAAAGACTATTAAAACGTCATGGTCTGCTTAAAAGGGCTTGAGCATGAGTAGACTTAAGCCACTACTTTGGCAAGTTTCTATTGCTAGTTAGGATCTTTGAGTGTCTGACGACGAGCTGCTGCTTGGGTGGCTAATCAATTCAAGATAAAACAAAAACCGATAATCAATATTGGCACAAAATAACGTACAATTTCGTAATCACCCATCAAAGACTGAAAGTCGTCCAGCGCTTCCTGGAACTCATTCTCTTCCATGCCTGTGTGAATCAAGATAAATCAAAAAAATTAAAAGAAAATGTTTTATAAACAAACAGTAACTGTATCACTCGGGAGATTTTTCGCAACGTTTGGCACATTCAGTGACCTCAGCTCTAGACAGACACATTTTGAAAAAAAAAGAAGTTCGGAACACAAGACCAAGATTTAACTGAAACGTCCAAAATTAAACTGGGAATCATTAATCTATAGGCTCACAGAAAAAAAACTTGATGGAAGTTGGTAAAAGATAATGTGACTCACCTTCACAGAGATACCAGTAGTAGAAGGCCTTCTTATTGTTCATTACGATGAACTGATCCCCAATGCCAGTTAGGGTTGACTTAACAAGAGTTCCGTTATACAGGGACGTGATGCACCGTGGTGTTGAAACCATGCCCGTGGCCTTGATAACTGACATGGGCTGCAAGCAGCATCCTATCTGCAAAGCAAAGCACTACATTCTGCAACTTTATGGGTTTTGGGAAATGTGGATTTAATTGCGAAGTTGTAAAAAGGGAAACTAGTACTGAAGATGGTAATTCTACAGTCAACACTAATTGCGCTCGTGGTTTTCGTCAATCACAGTTCTTATAAAACCGGTGTACTTCAATTACTTCTATCCTCATAAACCAACCAACTATATCAGAGCTAAGCCTACCCTCAAATTAAGTCGTTAAACGCACAGTATAGTTAAATCTGTAGATGGCTCCGGTGTGATGTTGGTGAACCACACCAGGGCCAATAACCGACGTTGACGCAACCCCACCAGAAGATAAGTAAAAGTGCAGATGACGCGTAGCTCAATCAATTTATTGATTCAGTAGCGGTGTGTGTAGAGGATAGCATTGATCTCTGAGCGCATGAAAAATCGATTGATTTGTGTTCGCTTGTGCTTGCACGCTGCGTTCGCTCACGTCCTACCTGTGCTTGCCGGCTGGTCGCCAGAAATCTAGTATGGTTAACTTGCATAATTTCCTGACATTTTAAATTCTGACATCGCAAGCACTCGCGTTGTTGAGGCGACGTAGGTTTCCTGCATTCGTAATGAAAAGTACTGTCTATCACGGACATATTTTTCCCTCACACTATACCCCTTACAGGCTTTACTGTGCCAGTGGGATCCTATAGACCCAAACTTATCGGTCTTCCCCTCCATTCAGGTCTTCCGTTTCCCTGATTTGGTTAAGATTTTAGAGGATTCTTATCAACTCTTGCTTGCCTTATATCCACAGGGACACCAGTCAGCGAATGTGACTTTGTGGGACCGTTTGAGCTCTTCAACGGCGGAGTTGATTCCAGATGGGGAGACGTCGCCTCGGAAGAGTAAAGCACACGACAGCATCACGGAATCCTCGAAAGTGGCATCACTGAGGGCTAATTGGAACCGATCGGAAAGGACCTCTGTTAGCATTGTTTCATTTGCCAACTCTGTAATAATTAAAAGACTGAAGTTGCCAAACTGCATCTGCCAATCAATTTCAACATCCAGACAAGTAAGATTAAAGACGTCAAGAGGTGTTGGCATATTTGAAGCGATAATTAGCCCTACTGTCTATAGTCAAGACTTCTGCTAACTTAACTCACAAGTTTGAGTCATGATGCCTTGGTGAAAATCCACCTGAATCAACTAATACTCATACTTGAACAACCGTCTAAGAACTTTTCCAGAGCACCTTCATCACACAAATGCACAGGTGTTGGTATTTTTTGCTGAGCTACTATTCTGTCCTTTCGAAGAATTGCCCGAAGACTCATCCACTGTCCTTGGATTTTATCAGTTGTGGAAGGGGAATTTTGGAAAAATTCATCTCAGCAGCCCTTTCCGAAGTGTCTGGAACAACGGCTTGCGACACAGATGCCTACTACCGCAGTAGATTGTAATAATTCACATCCATTAGCTGTGTCCTGATATCGTGACAATTAGTCCCTTTTAAGACTCCATAATTCAGTTCAGCATCAGCATTCTTACTGTTGATGAAGACACGTCTGACAAAGCACCCTTACGTAGAACCATGATCAGAATTTCCAGTGAATTCCGGTTCAAAGGGGTAGTTTTCAGGATGATAACAGAGGCCATGGGTCAAGGTTTCTTCCCATGTTTACTTCCGAGGGTATTTCCAAAATAGTTCTGGTTTGTTTTAACTTAACTGGTAGCCATTCATGTCTTGATTCAAAACGAATCAATTAATGAATATGTAAACCATGTAATACGGATTTTGACATCAAGTCTAACAGTTTTTTAATTCAAGACAAAAACCGTAAGGATCTGGGATGGATTCTCACATGAAATAAATACCTCGGTCTTTGGCTTACTTGTAGCATCGTAGATAGCAGGACTCATGAAGGGGTAGAAGCTGCACATTAAATAGTGCATGGTTGGATAGGGTATCAAATTAGTTTGGAGTTCGCCCAAACCCGACGTCAGTGAGGCTTGGAACCGCAGACCAGCTGTGAGTCCACTAAAGACCTGGAATTACAGGAAGGCTATTTCCAGCCACATAACCCAAGCTAAAAGGGTTTCATTTAACACAGAGCCATTATCAAATAATGGTTCTGATGGTAGGAAATGCTATTTGTATCAGAGAGGTACTAACAAAGACTATGTTTAAATAGTGATGCTGTGAGGAGAAATTGGGCCAGAATGAGGGATACCGTCAAAAAGTATACATTCAAGACTACTGCGTCAGCCACTGGAGCCCTCAATATTGCCACAAAATTTGAGTGGCGTTTTGTAAGACAAACCGACGTCCTAGTTATTTGACTTAGTCGCACGAAATAAACACACTAAGTTGACAAGAGGCTTATAATAGGTCTTTGAAACCACAAAGGATTTTGTGTCAGAATTGCTTGGAATTTCAGTTTATTCGCACCAATGCATGTTCGACTGCGCATTTCGTTTATCGCCAAGCTAGAGAGATGGAGCGCGAACTTCGCATTTTCGTACCTGCGCAACAAGTCGATTTAGATGGGAGTATGTGACGTTGGAGATGGCTACTTCTCTTTCGTAGATGTTGATTATTGCACGATTGTGGAAGATGAGGGAAATACAATCGGGCTTGCAAGGACTGGAGGCCCCAAGGACGGCGTTGTAGGGCTCAAGCACTGAGAATGCCTGGTCGCAGTCTGGGTAAACTCCAAAGTCAAATATTGTGGACTTCGGATACTCTTCGTCTATTGGGTCGTACAAGGCTAATAAAGGGGACAGACGATGCACCCTTGAACCCAGATACGTAAAAGGTAGCAATTCAAACAACTTATGAAGCAATGTCTGGCAGGCTGAGTAATGAATGCTGACGCCTTCGTTTGGGTGGTTTACTTAAGTTAGGAGGCGGTAATTCACCCTTGAGACATCACTGGTGGGTTATTTCCAGTCTTATTTTGACGCAACCAATAAAATTGTGTTGTCTTAGTGATTGCATAAGATGAAGTGCCAACCTGAGCTGATTAAATTGCCCAAGCTTTAACCTTCTTTGTAAGTTCCAATGGCAGTGACAACTGCCCTGGCGGCATTCCGCCGCGTTCCAATCACACTAAAGTAATCGATTTTTTGCAGTCACAACGATGCAAGTATGAGGGGCATCAGTTTTTCGTCCGTCAACGTCCCTACAGCTGCTGTTCACACGGCCAAGTCTGCAACTTTTAAGAGTCACATGCAGCAAGCATGAGGACCTGGCTAAAGTTCACTGGCTGATGGATGAAAATCACGTGACGCCAAACACGACTGCACCTTTACATTTCTAGTAAGAGTTTTTAGCCATACAGTACTTTTACAACTTTGATAAGTTCATAGCTTTGTTGACATCCCATTCTAGCTAGAGTGGAGGACCCCCGTGCCACCTCTATTCCATAATCGATTAAATACCCGTCAAAATAATCGAAATAAATACTTTGAGGCAGTTTCAGGCTTTCCTGTGATGTGAAATGCCGTAATGATGCCTTGCAAACAGTTGTGCACTTTCCTACCCATCATTAGGCCCGAACCAGTTCCTCCACCGTAGGAATGGAAGAAGCAGATCCCATCCAACATATCGCAGGCCTCGGCCACTCGACGAAGACTATCGTCGAATTTGGTGGAGTGTTGAGTAGCCAGGTGATGAAATCCCCTGGCATAATTTCCCGCTGCATCGTCACTTCCACTTATTAGTCGGCGGGGATTGAAAAGAGTTCGATAGATACCCGTTCTTATTTCATCTGAATAGCGAGAGGAAACCCGGAAACTTGGATTGGTTCAATTTACCAATCGAGCGAAACAGGCTTGGTCAGTTTGACGTCTAAATGTTTATGTGAGATGTTGTGCTGATTTAATTTACAATAATGTAACAGAAAACGGCCTTTACAAGCCAGAGTAGAGCAGTACCCAAACGGGTCACCTTGAAGTAAATTTACTTGTTTATTTTGGTAAATAAATTGGTTTTTTTAATCAACGACCTACCCACTTATGCTAGGCCGCTTTTAGGAATTGCATAACTTTCAAGTAACTTAAAAGACCACCGAATAAGGCGTTTATAAGTAAAGAAAAAACGACTCAGAAAAAGGGATTGGATGTCGCCGCTGTCGATTTATGTGTCAACGTGCCTCGGGTGTGTATCCGTGACCTCAGGTCACTTAACCTTCGCAGATATGTGCAAGGAGTGACCGGGCTCATATAATGCGCGGACACGGACTTGTTGTGGATATTATCAGCCATTTCTATCAGTTTCTCCAACTGTATGTTAAAGCCTTGGAACGAGGTAATTTTGTTCATGTGTGCCAGGAGAGATTTAGTCCACATTTGGCGTAGAACGGATTCATCAACCTTTCTATCCCAAACAGAGAGGCGCGTATGCCAAAGGGGTTGAGAAGGAAATCCTGTCAACTAGTTCGATACCGGAAAGTAGGTGTCGACGACGGGCCTCGTTCAAGCTTATCAATCGAGTGAGAACAACGTCTTTCAACTTTACATAGGGGTTTTTAGAAGGCATTGTTCCAAGCAAGTTGATAACTTCTGTAGCAGCATCTCTCGGTAGCCATGCAACAACATGTAAATACTTGAAGAACTGGGAAGTAATCATCTGATTGCCAAACTGGGCCTCAGGTCGCATAAACCAAACTCGAGCAATAGGTTCACTCATTAACAAAAGAGAGGGTTGTGAAAAAACCGACGGCAATCACCAATCAACGGAGTCAAAAATAAAGTTGTTTCATCACGTCGAGGTTACAAAATGTAGTGGTTTTAATTAGCACTACCTTACAACCCTCGGACATCGGACATTACCGTTTATTACTGTCGCACCAGCCAAGAGTCTGTGTGCAGTTGAGTGTACGTGCGTAACACGCAAATTCTAACAGAAGCCAATACCAAAAGGGGCGAGTTATTGGAGCACTCGGGCCATCACTTATGAGCGGTGGACCTCTACAATAGGCATCTTCTTTGCGCATGGCATTCCGCGTAATATGTAACCTTGTTATTCCTGAATACTCCTTGGGAATGTGACTTTCTTTGGTCTAGTATTCACTACGTTGACCACTATCGTTGAAATCCAATTGGTTTATAACTAATAGCCTAAGAGGCATTTTAACTGCCAAACCAGTACCAAATTTCTAGATAGATCACACGAAGAGAGTTGTCACTACCCACTAGCAATACTAACGCTTTCACTTGGACACGAAGTAGGAAATTCTTATACCTCTCACAAATTGAGAGTTCACTTTTTTCTCGTGATTTAAACAGCAATTTTAAACTTTTATGTCCTTATTCTACTTCCAAAGTCGAAAATAATACAAATTAAGACCCAATTAGACATTTTGTCTGCTGAAATGGTATTGCGTGAACCCAGTTATCATCAAATATGCATAAAAAACATTCAAATTAATTTAATCGACCATCAAGGAAACCTACTAGAGGCAGACTCGACATATTTGTTGTGGGATGATGTGGGAATCAAATCGACAAGTAAAAATATTATGCATAAGAAACGTTTGTTTTACTAACCGATTACCAGTGGTTCAGAATCTAAAATCACTGTCCTTGGACTGTAACCGCCACAGTCAGTTTCCTCGTAGAAAACATGCCGACCCTCGCCAAAGTCCGCCTTGGGTTGCCCGTCGAGGGTGATGGAAGCGCCGTCCGGACCGATTCCGTGCTCCACGCAAAACAACTCCCAAAACGCGCTGCTCATCTGGGCGCCACATTGGCCGACAAACACATTTATTATTTCTCCCTAGAAGCGCATTTAATGCAAGGCTTGAACTTCGGGTAGAAGGATGGGATCAATATACAATCAGGGAGCATGATGTTAAGGCATCAAGCCACTGCAATTATAAGTCTAAAGTAGTGCTTTTATCATCCTTTCTCTTTTCGATTTACTTTCTCATACCAAAATACTCAGTAGTATGGACGATAAATGGCACAAAATCTCTTTAGGGACAAATTTGACGACTCCACTGCTTTCTACGCTAGCACAACAAAGATTTCCGTGATGCAAAATTCTATTTTCCATCTGCTCAAATCCAACTTTTCCTAAGTTGCCCATCGTATTATGTTCCAGGGTTCACGAAGACACATTGCTGCCGATTTCCCGGGCACCACACCTCTGAGTATCCTAGGCAGCATTTTTTCCTTCAGAATTTTCTGCTCATTCGTGTCTTGACGTTGCATTTGAAGTAGACTGCAGAAAATGAGTGTGACAGAGGAGCCTTCGATTCAATAACATCAACCCAGATATGGTAAATAAACCCAAGGAAAGTCTACTTGCTACTTCAGGTAGTAATTTGGAGACCTGCCAGTCAATGATCACGACAACATCGGAACGGCAAGTTCTCGCTTGCTGATGTTGGTTTCGACTAACATCACTATGAGCCACTGGAATGATCTTATAGACCTTAGAAACTGAGTTAGGCATTTAAAATTGAAACCGAGGTTGAACTACGATTTTGTAAAAGACTTCAAAATCATGATTGAGAAGCTCCTTGAACGAGTTATTAACTTATAATAATAGAATTTTTCAGTGGCAAAACAAATTACTCAAACAGATAAAGTAGGACACTGGGAATAAAAAAAAAGTTTTAGACTGACCGACATTGCTTAAAGGGCTCTTCTAGGTGCGAAAGCGCGTGAACGGCATGGTAAACAGCGTGGGGGGCAGCCTCTTTACATCGATTGATAGGACTCGCATGGAAACCATCAGAGGCACGTGGATTAAGTCCTCAGCTTGGATTAGCAAAACTCCAGGCCATGATAAAATGCATTTACAATTACTACAGTCTAAAGATTAATAAGTACTTTACACATCTCTATATCTCACTCTTCAACAAAAAAACTTGCGATTTAAAACGTTTCATTAATGCACAATTAGAGCTGCTGAAGGAACGTCTACATTCCTAGCTCACTTCACAGAATCGTCTGGGTAGTTGGGATGCAGGCACATTTCTTCATACACTTGCGAAGGTTCCAAATTTTTTGAGTAGATCCTTGTAAGACGGGGACTTTTCTCAACGTCCACATAACTCAAGTGGACAGGTGTCGTCATGCAATCCTGTTCACACGCTTCACTTGCAACTCACACCACGCATCTTGACATTCGAGTACTTTACACTTTCTAGCCCACCCGAATCAAATGAGTCAATAGCCTGAATTTGACATACCACTTAGAGGAGCATTTGAGACTTGAGGAATAGCGACATCGAACACACATACGACAAAACTTAAACGACTTTTTCCGTCACCAACGGTAATCAGAGTCTTGAATAGTGTTCTATTTGGTAAAAAAGTAGGTACAAATAAATAGCCCAATTGAACAGACTTATTTCTACATTTACCGGCTGATGAACGTAGGTGGTTTTGTGGATTTCGATTTTTCCTCATCTAAGGTGAACAATGTGTAAACAACCAAGTCCTATTACAATTCTTCTGCTCACTAACTTCCAAAGCGTCAAATAACAAAGTCGGTAAAAAGGCGACACGATGAGGGACTTTAAAATCTGATTAAATAGTTGAATTTGAAAACTGAATCGTGGGTACTTGACTTTTTTTTAAAAAAAATACACGGATCAGGCATCAGTTTTTTAAATGCCCTCAAATTTTGAAATTTACCAGTGACGTGACTGCCATACTTCAGGAACTCTGCCATCACTTCAAATGTGAGTTGCACTACCTTGAGGTCTGTTTGAAAATTTGAAGAATGAATTTAGCAAACAAAGACGTGAAATCGAAATGGTTGTCCGGGCTGTCTCATATATTGTGAATTGACAAAGTCGCGACGGTTCACATAAGCCCTTGTTATGGGCCCCAGCATGTGGTCTTGAACCACGCCGGGGCCACTAAATTAACCCTGGCCCGATTACGCTTCCCTGATACCCGCGATGAAAAAAAGACCGGAGGGGACGTGGACGCAACCGTTCACTTCAGAGCTCAACTACATTGGTTTCGTTGTGTCCTGGGTGGAAATCGCGCGTATGCAATAATACCTCAGATGTGTGAGTCATAGAGGCGTTAATAGAAAGATCTAGGTGTGAGGATGATCCGGGGGGAGTTGAGGAAATGCGTGGCTGGCGACATGCTACAAAAGGGGAATTTTGTGTCGGAGGCTGGAGCGACTGGATTAAGGGGTGTAAATAAACACGAATCATAGCAACCTCATTCAAAATTTTGTTCAGTTATTTACGTTGAATTCAAGTTTTTGACACATTGCACTCATTAACCGAAATGATTTATAAAAAAGCTCTATTTATCAACACAGTCAACGTCTGCCAGCAAATAAATTGCTTTGTCCCCTTGGCATTTCGAATACTCTTCTTAAATATCCAGAATAGGTGTAAGTCAAAATAAAGTCTTTAAATTACATGACAGACTATTAGTAACAAACAATTGAGTAACATGAAATTTGGCTGCTAACAAATATCTGTGAGAAATAGATTCACAAAATTGGTCTTCCGTAAGCAATAAAATCGAATGAAAAACAAATAAGAGTCCCTTAGACAGTTTCAATGAAAAGGGAGAATTACAATTTCGAAATATGTATTAAATGGTAGATTCACTAATTAACAAAGAATATTTAAAAATTGTAATGACAACAAAATATCCAATACATTCAGTTCATAGTAATTTGCACAAAGTCCAAAACATAGAAACTATGCTAAAAATTAATCAAAAAGGACTTTTGAGAAACGAGCTTCACAGATTGCAGTGTGCAAAAATTGGATTAGTTGTAGTAACTACCTAAATTAGAAATGCGCTTAATAAAACCGTTGGATGCTTCTTACTGGTTCCCATCTTTGTTAACTAGTGGTTATTTACTTATCCAAATTTGATAGCCCAAATACATAGAAACTGTTATTTTATGATTTTAATAGTGAAATTAGGAAAATTGTATAATAGCTCTAAACACAAAAAAAAAACATTTTGAAAACAAAATGAACCTGCCTCAACTTGCTCTTACGTAGGAACTTAACTATGAACACGATTATATAAATGGGGTGAGTAAACGTTGTTAATTACACGATATTCCGAGCTACTTAAGCGGTATAAGCTAGTTCATTCTTGCTTTTAGTATTTTTGTGACTAAATAGAACTTATTAATGAGGTCGAAAATTGTATTCTTTGATTTAATGTAAGCCTTTGTTTGTGTGTTTGTGAAGACGATTTACCTAAACGCGCACTTTGTGAAGCAATTTGGGTTCGTTTTACTGATGGTCGTAATTTAGCTTCTCCCATTCCGCCATGGCCTCAAAGCAGCAAGTTACTCCCTCTAATGACAGCAGTCGGAATTCTTCAAAGATTCCCAGTAAGATTCTGTTTGCTGCATTGCAGTCCTGAATATAAGCTTGTTCTAACGTATGTTTTACTTATTCCTAGGGTTGCTTCGCCAAAATTCCAAGCTCGATGGTGTACCAGGTTACTTGATTAACTATTTTTCAGCTTATTAGTGTATTAAATTACCCAGTCTGGATTTGGGCCTACAAATTAAGTGGGGTTTACGATTTATTGTCAATTCTTATGTTGTCACATAACATCGCCCAATGTTAGTTAAAAGTATCCCTCTTAAAAGCTAGGTGCCCTGGTAACGTGTTGTCGTAAATATTTCAACATCGTCAGACTGGCGTGTGTGTGTGCTTGACGCGTTACTTTGTCATTTCTCTTCTGATCAGCTCCGTTCTTTAAGCTTTTAGTTAATATTTTTGCACCTGCACTGAACACTTTTTCTTCCTAGACACTGAACCGGTATACGTTGACGCAATTGATGCAGCGACCGGCGAACATATAAAAATTATGTACAGCGGCGCGAAAGTCATCGGCAGTGGTTCTTTCGGAATGGTGTTTGTCGCTTTGCTCGACGGAGAGCGGGAAGTGGCCATAAAGAAAGTTTTGCAGGATAAACGCTATAAGGTGCTTAGTCGACTTATTTTCCGCTCGTTTCAGTATTCGGTTTATATATTTAAACTATTAGGGCTAACCAATGCAGATTTGATTGCTCACTATGGGGGCAAGAAATCGTAGACAGCGAGATTAAAATTTTGTTTTGCTTGTTTGATTTATAATCTTAGGACCTGTGCGTTTGGTAGCTAGAGAAAGCAATCAGGGGCGTTCATTGTACGCCATTCAGTTATTTCAGATGTCAAAGATTATTTCTTTTAAATTCAATAAAATATCAAGTCATCAAAATTCCAATCAGTGCATGTGCATTACCCTACAGTCGTTTGTGTGAAATAATGAACCTCGTCCATTTCTTTTTTCTAGAATCGAGAACTCCAGATACTCCGCGAGATCCGCCACCCGAATATTGTGTCTCTTATGTACTTCTTTTATTCTATTGCCAATTCGGTGAGTTTTTTTTTCATATCCTATTAGTGATGTGCGATTGTTGGCAACTAAATTCACGAATTATCCTCTCTAAACTGATCCCAGTGCTTTCTCGAAATTTGATAGGTTCTCGTAGTTTCTAATTACTTTGCTTCAAGTGGCGTTCAAAAAATAACCCTAGCTAGACCAACATGTCTTTGTTTGCTCGTACTAAAGCTCATATTTTTCTCTGAAATAATGTTTTTATTACCTTTAAGTTTGCAAACCTAATGTCATTAAAGCGTTTTTAGTAGGGTTATGATGTTCGTCGCTGCCTTGTCGTTTGTATTTCCTTGTAAGTTCGCTGGGTACCGACAGTTGACTAAGCTTTGGTTTCTAAATTAGTGGGTCTTTGAGGTGCATCAACGTTAAATTACGTCTTGACACATGTGGCGGTTGAATCCAGTTCATCTGACTTCCTTGTGGTTTCACAGGATGGAAGTGAACGAGCAGATATTATTTATTGGCTGTCACTTTGCCGTTTGTTAGATATCGTAATCAGCTTCAATCGACTATTATGCAAAGCATGAGTAGAAGGGCTACTGTTTGTGTGGCTAAGTTTATGTACTTCTTCAAAATTGACCCGCAAGTGGTCAGTCAACGTCCTGGAATAAACAAAGATTTCGAAAACACACAAGGTCCCTCTGAGTTCAGTCATGGCCGCTTAAATGCTAGGATTAACACAACCCGCGGTTTGAACTGGGTATTTATAAGTGACGGGCAGACACCTTTGGAATTCCGCTGGGGTGATAAAAGTCCGGGTATAAACATGTGACCCGCCTTTCGTTGTCCTTCGGGAAATCAGTTTTAACCCTTATAGGAGATGAGCCTGATCATTCTACAACATAACTGCTGATTATTACACGGAAAATTCGCAGTAATGCACGATGGCCACTTAAATTCGTTTGGGGCGTTCATAAATTTTACACATGTGGAGTTTGTTCGCGAGATTTTTTTGGCAAAAGTAGTTTCTTTGGTACAATCTCATGTTTTTCTTACAGTAGTTTTCCATTCACGGTTATTAGTGTTCACCACAAAAGGCACAATTACGAATTTTCCATGTTCCATTAACAGCAAAGCCACTCAATTCTTGCTGCAACCGATGTTCTGGTTTCGGGTTAGCCTTACTTTACCTCAGGCCAGAGGACTAAATTTATGTTGTCAAGCGAATCGTGAAAAAAAAATTTCAGTTCTGAAATTCAGTATTCATGAATTAGGTTTTGTAGCTTTCTTTTCTTAGGCGATGTCATTTGCCATTTTGCAGCATTAAGTACGTACACTAGTAGTGTAGTATTGTAATGATTTTGCTCTGTCCTGCGCCATCGTTTTGCATCGGACGCCATTCTGCCTGTTTCCTTTGACTAGTCGTTTTTGATAATAACAGGGACTTGACCAAAGATATTGCATGTAATTTTGCGAGTTGCCCACTTCAAAAGGCGACTGCGCCACAGCTATGACCACTATACCGTTTTCCGAGTTTGAAATAGGAAAGTAAATGGTGCCAGATTCTCCTTAAAATCGGATAGCAACTTAGAAGAGGATCGAGATACTGCGGTTAGGCCAGTTTTAGGTCATGTCGAAAGCTTTATAGTCCTGCTGCTACTTTAACGGTCATATATTCCCGGAGGGCAAGGTCACACCTGGCAAATCTAGCAAACTAAGCTAGACACCCTTGTGTGTGTGTGTGTAGCTACTCTGTTTTGTAGTTCCTTTGGGCTTCCCAAAGCTGCAACCTCGTATGATGTCTTTCCATTTCCATCTTAAGAGAACCATGTTGTAGGGCAACTTGCATCTAGCACCAGCGCATGTGAACCTTATTCCTTTGATCCACTGAACCTGCCGCTGTTATGAGCAGGTGATGTCAGTTTGCAGTTGGTTTCCCTAGGTAGGCAGTCGTTTAACTACGGGGCTTATTTATGCGATTTCAGTTTGATCCGGAAGGGGTCCCTCAAGAAGTACCAACTGATTTGGCAAAGTGTCTGATTCCAACTTGTTACATCTACGAAGACTCAAAAGGACTCTTTTTAATCTGTTTCGGCACACGCAAATAGTGTTATTTGTGTCAGGCTTGCTGGCAAGCATCCTTAGACAATTGTTGTTTCGCTTACAGTAGCGAATGCTGTAGCTGTCATGGCTGTTGCTTATTTCACGCTTTTAATTTCTGCTTTTGACAGTACATTTAGTATTATTTGATCGGAGGTTTCTACAGAAACTCTTAATAGTTTGAAGCCTGTTTTAGCGTCGCCTATTGGCCATATTAATGCACGTTAATTTACGTTTTGTTGAGTCCTTCAACTTCGTTTATTCCTTACCTATCTTAAAAGGATTCTGTTTATCGTTATTTTTGACTTCTTTTTCCCAATTTATGCAATCGCCCATGAACGGCTGCCCTGTTGTTCTGTTAAGTTATCCCATTTGTGCTTGGGATATGCATTAAAGCCTGTGATGACACGAATGCGTTTAACCACGCTGGACGACATTTTGCGCACTTTCAAGCCCCTTGGGGCGGTGTGCGCATCATGGCGCAATGAGCAGCCCGTATCCCGGTGTCGGTGATTTCGCCTCCCACACGACCGTTCCTTGCCAAGGTGTGCTGTCGTAATGCCATGCGACCAAAACCCCTATCCGCATCTTTTTACAACAGTTTCGACACCAAAACTCGCTCACACTGCGTTTTCGTGGGGTGTCATTTCTGTGTGCGCACCAGTGCAATTTTCCAACGCCTTCCTCCTCCGTTTCTTGCTTGCGTGCTCTGCGAGATGCTGCCTTGCGACTCGTGCTAAGCCCTGTGAGCCGGGAATTTCTGTCTTCCAGGTAGCTCTCAACCATCGGGCCGTGTCTTGGTCGAGCACGCTGAAACTTTGTAGGTGATGCGACATTTGTTGGGGGAAGAGGGGCGTTCGCTATCGATGAGGCCGTTCATATTCCATGTCAGCCCTCAGTTGCGTCAACTCGAAGCCACATTCACAACGGCATTAGGTGTCAGCGAATGAATTTTTCTTTTAACCAGCAACGAATCTGAGTCGATTAACCTAATTTTCAGTGAATCTGCTAGACCTCTGAAATCCAACCGCAGCAAATACCTACACGACAGCGGCCTGCTTTGTTGCACGAAAAGATTGCTAACGCTCATTGTCTTTGCAGTGAAGCCCCATTTTTTTCTACTCAATTCCGACTGCAGGTGCATTACAGCACAGCCGTGACTTACAGGAATGTCCGTCTGTCTGGGTCCCCGATTAGATTATCTTTCTGTGGCTGAAGTTGCGTCGTTTGTCTCTGTTTTAGATGTGTGCGTGTGTGTGCGCAAGTAGAGCACTCACAACGCCTGCTTACTTTCTTTATGGCGTAAATCGCGTGTTTTGGAATCATAACTTGCAATGCCTGTAGTTCCATCGGTTGTACAGCTTCCCACTCCAAAGGGCATCGCTAGCATACTTTAAAAAAGTACGTCGATGAACAGTGACCCGTTGTCACATTACCTAGCCCTCTGAGTTGTCTCACATGACCAACCTGGTGGCAAGTTTTTTTGTAACACCCACCGGGATCTAGGTTGGATCAAACTACTTTCGCATGGCAATCGTGTTGGCTCCTGTCGCCGTCCCTTCGGTCTTTAGTCATTAAATTTTGCCCTAGACTAGATACCCTGAGGTTGATAACGAGTGGTCGAAGTTGCCAAGTGCCATTGTTCCCAAGACGCCCGCTTTTCAACCTACTCCGGTTTGGATTATTTGAATGGCAGCGCTTGTGTTGTCTTTAACTTTCAAGTTTTGCTTTGTGCGCCTTTGATGTCCTGTAGAAGGGAAGCACAGAAGAGAAAGCCTCCCCAGGTAGCTCGGACGACTCCTGTGTAAGTGGTTGTGCTGGGAGTTTGTTTCCTTTAATCCCACATGCCAACTGTTTCCCTCCTTGAACCACTGCATTTTCGATGGGTGACCAAAAAGGTGACCGCTGAATGGACCCTTAAATGAGCCTCGATATGCGTGGTGTCCGTGAGCACCAAGATTTTCGGATTGACATACATAGCCTTCCGGTACTTCTGTCTAATCATTTCAATTTCTTAATCCAACTTTGGCGAAATTTGCCACTTTCACCCGTGTGGTCGCTTAGCTGCATTGTGTTAATGTGTGAAGGGTCTGTGGCGGTGCGACACGGCAAATGTTACATTTGCATCACATAAGTGAATTTGGCAACCCTAGCGCAGGATGTTTCTAGTCTAAGAGCTAAGAATACAAAGTGGATTGGGCCCCCAATGTTGCTCATTCGCAACATTGTAAAGTAAGTCTCCGATTTTCTCGACGACGCATTCACCCTGTTGAATGTGCTAACTTGCTTCAAGGTGTTCATTGGTCTCTTTTTCTCGTTGGAACTTCTTTCTCTAAAGAAGAACCATGTTCCCCTGTTGTTTCCTTTCCTTCTGTTTCGAGGTGCAGTCTGCGTGCAGTGTGTGTGTTTTTCTCTTTCAGAAATCGAAGGACACTTACCTCAACCTCGTGCAGGAGTACATTCCTCAAACACTTAGCCGTGTTATCAAGCACTACTGGCACGTCCGTCAACCCATTCCAATGACTTATGTCGTAGTGAGTGATCCTTGTCCTAAGGTGCTATTCGACCCCTTTTTTTTCTCCTTGTACGCGCGCGTCCCACTAGAGGAACCGCCGTGACCCCGAGCTGCTGCTGCTCCTCTGTGGCAGGGCGCTACGTGAATCGGAAAGTTGTCTTTGTTAGCCTAGTAGTTAAACCTCTTCCAGGCAAGCTCTCGGGTTGTATTTGTGTGTGTTCATGTCGCAAGGCAGTAAGACCTATCGGTCAACAGAAGGCACTCATCTAAGCACAAGTCTTATTTATTGTGCTTAGATGATAGTAAGCCGTTGCAACGCCCTCAACTAACTTGTCAGTCTGACCACCAACCAAATTGGCATATTGGCGTCATTTGGCCTGGGTCTTTCCGAGAGGCTTCTACACCATTCAGTCGGTGCTGTGGTTGTGGTGTGTCCGTAAATATACTTCTTAAACAGATTCCGCTATTCCCTCCGTCCGGGCTAATTCTCCAATTAGGTCATCTGTCTGAGAAGCATGCTTGTCAAATTAACACTGTTTTTGTTCCAAACTCGTGTATTTCGATCAATAACCACTGCTTCTTGCCTTGTAGCTGTACAGTTTCCAAATGATCCGCGGTTTGGCGTACGTGCACAGCAAGAACATCTGCCATCGGGACATCAAGCCGCAGAACCTCCTGGTCAATCCCGAGACGGGTGTGCTGAAAATCTGCGACTTCGGCAGGTAGAGCCTCACTGTGGAACTAGGCCTGTTGATGCGAGTAACCTAGGTTTGCGGAGAGAGTGTTGTTTATGAACTGTAGAACGGTGACATCGGCAGATCTCTCGCGTTAAGAGGTCAACTGGTGGTTGACAGGCGTTGGGACACGGCGTCGACTTTGGCGGGCGCGTGAGGTGACACCGGATGCATTCTCTAAGAGCGCTTGCCACTACAGCTCGTCTCTGGTCGAATGAGTGCCTTGACATCGTTGTTATCTATGCCTCATCTGACAATTAATTTGCTACACCTCCAGGCATTCCATCCTAAGGAATGTGTATTCGGCGATGGCAAATATAGTGGGTAAAGCTGTTACATTGATGGTAGCAGGCTTTTGTTAAGTTGTAATTACATATAATTGATTCTTGAATGGTTCTCACGTGGTCACGAAAAATGATTACTCGTTCCACATCCACGAGCGGACAATGTCCGGATTTCCCCATTGGTCGACCCTTGAAAAGGCGTTGTTGCGTGCTAACTGTGGTGAGCTTATCCAGTCGCGTCAATTGAGAGACTAGAGCCAGTCAAATTGCCAGTGACGTGATCAGTCTAAACAAACCGTAACTGTAATTTTTTAAAGACTAGTCACACGATTAATCGCAGACTAGCCCTGCACTCTTCCCGCTGGGGGCGCGTTTTACTTTAATAATCTTTCAGGGTCTTGAGCATTCAATTATAACTCACAACTTGGGGTCATATGCAATTTCGCGGTTTTGGCCAGGGTCTTGAAAGTGTACTAAAACCTGTCTGTTGATCGTTTGTTAGTAGTCAGAATATTTTACATTTGGCCGGTGCAAGCTCATGCTGTTGTGGGTAAATTAACCAGAAAGGAAACCAGGTTACTGTACAATTCTTTAGTAGTAGCAAATCAAGGACCATTATGAACGATGCCATGTCGAATTCTGCCTCACGCCAGTATTTCTCTTTAGCACCAAAGTCCTCGTCCCGGGCGAGCCCAATGTGTCGTACATTTGCTCGCGCTACTACCGCGCGCCCGAGCTCATCTTCGGCGCCACGCAGTACACCGTGCGAATAGGTAAGTCGGAACTGCTTCATGCCAACGCCTCCAAGTCTGATCCCCTATGGTGAGGGTGGTGAGTTTGCCTTTTATCAGAACAGGGCAGGTCATTTTCGCAGGGATCGCTGGAGTTTACTGAAGAACCACCAAATCCTCGCCTCATTAGCATTCTCGTCTGTCTTTCGTGGATTAGGGGCAGTAAGAGACGTTTGTGCGGCGATTCGTAGTTTTCAATAAGTGTGGACGGAATACCAGTAATTGAAAATGCGACAACATATGTAAGGGAATGTCTTCTGGCCAGTAAACTGGCTCGAGACTCGAGAATTGAATGCGAAACAAAACACATGTTAGTGAATTGGTGTAAATAGCGCCAGAAACCAACGACGAGCAGTCTTGGGGAATCGTGGATCCCCAACACTTTCATCAGTTCAATCAACTGATTACTGAATGTCACCCTTTTAAGTAGTGTGCTCAAATTCAGTTCCGGTCATCGTGAAAAATATACGTATATACTGGAATTGAATGCGAAACAAAAGTGCATAGTGTAGGTAGGTTCAGGTCTTGTACCGCGCGTGGATACTGGCACAAGTCTGCAAAGATGGCACGCCAATCACTGTGCATGAGTTAGTCGACATCAGGGGGCGGTAGAGATGCCCCTCGTTTTCCTGCATTCTTTTTCCAAGCGCCTTTTCTTCCACGCAGACATGTGGTCGGCGGGTTGCGTCGTGGGCGAATTGCTTCTTGGTCGTCCCCTGTTTCCCGGTGACTCGGGAGTCGATCAGCTGGTGGAAATCATCAAGGTCCTCGGAACGCCCTCGCTGGAGCAGGTCAAGGAGATGAACCCGCAGTACAGCAAATTCGTTTTCCCCAGCATTAAGTCATGCCCGTGGGAAAAGGTAGGCAATTTGCAACCAACCGCAGTTCCCGTCCTGGCTAGGCATTTTTTCTTGTTTCGTCATCTCACACACCCCATCTTGGGTGTGCTATTAATTCTAGTTTTTACAGAGGTCCGCTCAATTCATGGATATTTAACCTTTTCAAAACCTTATCGAGCTCCCACAAGGCTCAACCGACCAATCCGTAGGAATTAATATTGAGTACAAAGAGAAATCCTCGGCTTGTGGTCTCTGAATGTGAACTGAAAGCGCCTTCTGTTATAATAATAACAAAGCTTATTACTTAAAAAAGAACGTTTTATGAAGTGTAATCGAGTGTATCCTCTGAAGTTGCTCAATCTGATTCAACTTTTCTCCTTATGCGTATCAAAAATTTCTAAAGAATGAGGTGCCCGTCCAACGAACCTGATTTGTGGGTATTCATGCTTAGAATGACTCTATCTGTGCCTGGTGATATTATGGCTTGCTGTCCATGGGCTCCACATCAAGTCACCGCCGAAAGCTAGGGAGAGCCGTCATCTGCTAACTCCTTTTACCCCGCAAAATATAGCGAATGTCGCGGAGAAAACGATCCTTCGTTAAGGCCTTGTGGACAAATCCCTGTAGTTAGGCATAACTTTGTTGACTTGGTGCCACACTGTTACTAGACGATAATGGCAAGCATCTACCTGCGAAAGTTGACTCCTTTAGGTACATCATTGGAGATTCTGATCAAAATGCATCTTACAGTCACCGAAATTCGGATCATGGCCTGGAAATTTACTCGAATGGTCATACAGTGGCGTCCGCAGACGTCTTCCATGAATTCTCCTTTTCGTCAACAGGGAAACATTCGTAATTTATCGACTAGTGCTGCCGATTTGAACTCGGCGACTCAAGTCGCCAGCTGGAAAAAAAAGGCTAACTTGATAAGTGAGGAACGTCTGCGACTCCGTTACATCTCTCGGTTTGGGGTTGTAGTCGATCGGGTTAATTCACGCCTGGCCATCACACTCCCTCCCTACCTCCCTCCATTTTCACGGTGCCCCCACCGCCACCCACTCAGTCATTTGTAATTTTACAAGGTCACCCAGACTGTTAGTACAACGCTATGGCCTCGGTGTGGTTCAAGGCCACATATCGGCCGGGGCCTTAAGTGGTGAGATGCTGCCAATTGTGCTTTGTCAATCAAATCTTCCTCTGGCCATGCGAGTTTGGTCTGACTCCCACCGATTCACTAAATAAACACACCTTACAAAGGTGTCCAGCTTTGCCCACTCTCGTATTTTCCACCGCGTGTTTTGTTTACTCCAACGAACAATTGCAGCAGTAGCCGCGTCGAGTTAGATCGTTACCTTTGTCGCATTCTGCTTTTGCAGTTGATCACCAACCGCGGGCAGTGTGAAGACGCATTTAACGTCCTGCGAGCCCTCCTCGTCTACAGCCCCTCGCAGCGGCAACCAGCCAGCGAGGCGCTCGCCGCGCCCTTTTTCCAGCAGGTTCTGTCCAACTCCAGCCTCGAGGTGCCCAGCACCAACTCCACCGGCCGAGCGTCCACCGCCTTGCGACCCATCGAACCCTTCACCGAGGAAGGTAAGCAGCCAAATCCACGCCGCCTGCCACAAATGTGCCAGTGTTTGGCTCGTCGTAGTGGAGGTTGCAATGCAATTAGAGAGCTAGGTCATAAGTTGGTCCTGCCTCGTGAATATTACTGAAACCATACTAAAGACTATCGTCTCCTAAATCACATAAATACACACACGCACACAATTCTACATATGCTTTAATTGCTTTCTCAGAAATCTGACTCCCAGTACTGAAAATTGCACTGATTAGTCGCTCCAAAAGTGCATTACGTTGCCTGAGCTCCTTTTTGCCTTTTTGTTGTTCCTGCGCAAAATGCGTTCTCGCTTGAAGAAAAAATCGAGCGAAAACTAACTAACTAATTGGCTGTGCTATAATGAGCCCCTGGTTTGTACCTACGTGGCTTGAATGTTCCTCAAAACGTTACCAATTAGATCGACCTGTTTACATTTCAAGCAAAGCATGATGCAGGTCTAGTAAAGGTACATTTTACCAAGGCTGTTGGTCGTTTTGATTGGAATCTGCTCCGTGTTTTTACTGTACTTACTTATTTTGTAGTAGGTTGTTTTGCTAATTTATTTCATCGTTTTTTTTGACACAGAGTTGTCGTACCTTCCCCCTGAGCTGGTTGAGACCATTAGGCGATATGGCTTGACCGCTGCTTCGATCCACCACTCACAAGAATCCCAGCACCAATCCAGTCCCCAGCAGGCCCCTGCAACCCCCTCCACTCGGTCAAGTCGACGTGGCTCCTCCGCCAACACCTAAAATATCACTGGTCGTTCCTGAGTAAGTGCATGTTGTTTCTGTGTGTTCTGGGGTCACAGCCACTTCGCCACATCCCTCGCCCCTTCTATAACCACTCTCACATGAAATTCTATCGCGTGAAGACTTGCCAACAGATTGTTGTGGGCCCCAGCATGTGGTCGTGAACCACGCCGGAGTCACTGAATTAACCCTGGCCCGATTACGCTTCCCTGATGCCCGCGGCGGAAGGAAAAGACCGGAGAGGACGTGGACACAACCGTTTACTTCAGAGCTCAACCACGTTGTTGTCGTTGTGTCGTGTGTGGGGTTTGCGCGTGTGTATTTATACCTTGGATGTGTGAGTCATAAATGCACTAACATCAAGACCTAGGTGTGAGGATAATCCAAGATAGATATTCGTGTGAATGAAGGGGGAGTTGAGGATTCCCGCTGCTGGCGACATGCTGCGAAAAGGGGAACTCTGTGTTAGAGGTGGAGAGATCGTATTAAGGTGTGTGAATAAACACGATTCACAACAAGATCATTGTGTCCCTAAGCCCACGTGCTTCGAGTCTGGTATTTTACGCTTGACACGATCTTCCGTTTTGCAAACGTTAAATGAATGCCGACCGACGAATCCCTTTAGCGTCGTGGCGTTGACTGTCAACCATCGTTAGGCAAATTGGGTGTTTGGATGCTAACAGCATTCTCCAGGGAGTCGTCATCACAAAGACGACAATCGCCCTTCTGATGTTTACTTCACAATTTAGCACCGGAGGAAAGCCCAAATGGTCCCCTTTAGTGAGAAGTGTCAAGTTCTAGCTAACTGGATTCTGTGTGTTTCCATGTGTAGACGTAATTTTGGCTGACTTCTATTTTTTCTGTCTCTTTTAGGTTTCGAATTTCTTCGTCTTATGGACAAATCGGAGTGTTCCATGAGCACTTCAACTCCAAATCGGCGACATCATCGCGCTACTCTCGTGTTTGTAAAAAAAAACAACATTTTTGACTTTAACGTTTGATCCTCCTCCCACATCACGCGGCAATTGTCTCCCCCCTCCCAAAATCCTACTTTTAGCCCTGCCTCCCTGGGTCTGTCCTTATCTTCATTTTAATGCAGGTTATTTCGTTCTGTTCTCCAACGCAGAGACAAACAAGTGGTGCCCAAATTTCTTGCGCCTCGCGACAAACTGGTTTTTTCTTTCTCTTTCCTTCTGTTAAGTTAACATGCATATACACACACATACAAATGACCCCTACCAATTGCGTTAGATTTCTTTTGGTCTTAGAAATAAAACTGCTTGGTAGCTCTTGGTGTTATCCTTCACTACGTGGACCATTTCAAGCGGACCTGCCAGCCTCTTGCCGATGGCTTGAATTTCATTGTGGCTGGTCACTGATATTGAAGGTACTCAACATTATTGGATTTCTAAGAAGATATTGCAGCACAAAACGTCCATTTCATTGTCAGACGGACCTCATTCCAATCACTAAGTAATTCGAAATCGAAACCCCGGCCTCACTGCAAATGTTAAAGGGGTGTTGAAAAAGAGCCAAGCGTCCTGGTTTCCTGATGTATGTTAATTTGAATCCAGGCCAAAGCCACGCCGCTCCCAGTTAGTGCAGTTCTAAGCCTTGTTCCTCCCACTGGAGGGTGTCCGCTATTTCGACTTGGCCACGTGTTACGTTTGCCCGTAGCAGAGGGAAAACCGCTTAAACAACGGTATCAGGTCCCCTGTTGACGCCAGCACCAACCTTCCCACGCTAATACAAGAACAAGACCAGAGCTCGGGTAGAGAGCTTTAATCACGTCAGCCACGTGCGGCGTGGGTTGTCAAGAGTGGAACTAATTCGAGTCAAGGTTGACCTTGACTTGATAAAAAACGTAATAAAACACGTGTTAGTGAGTTAGTGTAAATGGTCCCATCTAGGGGAATCGTGGATCCCCAACACCACTGCAGTGCTTTCATCACTTGGGGGGCGCATAAAGTACTACTAAACGAAATGTCCGTGACGTGTTCCATGGCCAATCGAAATCTCTGGCATCTCACAACGTAGAAGATTGGACTTGTCGGGAACCCAGAATGGCAAAGCTTCGAACCGGGTCAGTTTGTAGGACACTCGAAAAGTCAAGGGGAGCGTGCTCGCTATTGAGAAAGCATTGCATAATTTCCATGATTGGTGGTGTACCATTTCTCATGTTATTTCTGTGGAACCCTTTGTTTTACTATACTGACTTCCGTTAGAACGCGGCTCAGTTCGCTCCCCAGCAGGTAACACGTGAACTCCTGTACGTTCCGGTTCCTTGTTTCTCTTCTATCCACTGTGTCTGCCTGCTGGGGTGCAGGCCGCAACTGTTATTTACAGTGGGTTTTGTTTCCTCTCACTTCCACTACCAAATTACCTTCTTGCGTTGCTGTTTTACAATAACCGCATCTTTCCCACGTTAAACTACTCAATTAACTGCTTCTCTCACTGGTTCCCTCCACGCAGTGGTGAGATACGGACAAATACGACCAAATAAATATCTTCTTGCTCAGGTGTGCTTTGTTCTAACATGACCACTAAACAAATGTCTGGAGGAAGCACTATGAAAACCGTCTTGAACGAAACCACTAGTGGCCTTATCGACCTTTCAGGGTTCATCTATCAAGGTTACCATCGTTTGCATTGGAACCTGATATCTAGCTTTATTTGCACCGGTTTTAGTTCCCAGGAATAGGTTTATTGTATTGGCCCGATTATGCTACATTGATATCCGGGAAGGTGAAAAAGACCTGAGATGGCGGTGAAACACTCGTGTACCAAATGTCTCCACCCGGTTATGTGTGTTGCGCCACTGTGCATAAAGAGGTGTTGGCCAATAAAGTTCGTTGTTCCTGAGAGATGACAAGTCATAGGAATCTATAGGCAGCTAGAGCAAATAAATCGGGTTAAGGGTCAGTCCTGTTAAAACTCCGAATTTGTAATTCCCTTTATACTCCACACAAATACGCAAGAAGTCTAAAAAGGCCAGAGATTACGGAGGCAACCGTTTACAAGATAGCTCAACCACTGCGCATAAAAACACGTCATATCTGAGTAATGGGGTTGTTGACCAATAAAGTCAGAGTGAACTGGTAAAAGTAGAAATAACTGAATGGCTAGATGAATGGAATTCGCAACGGTGAGATAACCGCGTAGGGGTGCGTGAACAGTCGGTCCCGAACGGTCGATAGTCACCCTCTTAAAAGGATTGATTGGCGCGAATCAACAGGTTTCACTACGAGTTCGTACTGATGCAGACCATTTTGTGGAGTCACAATGCCTCTTTGTGACAAAGTGGAGGCAAATTTCCTGGAAAAAAATATCACTGCCAGTGAGGCTCTGAAGCAGTACCACGAACGTGCGAGGAATCGGGCACCTGTACTAGGGTCCTTCTCAGCTAGTACTCACATGGAGGTTAAAATGGCCACAATTATTCATGCAATTTAAGTATGGGAGAAGATGGTGATCCATGTAAATCTTTGGGTTAGTTTAATATATGTTAAGGGCTACTTTTAAATAATATTGAGAAATTGGAAATCGACACCACGAATAGAGCGTGTCCCCTTCTGAAACCTCACTAAAAATTGCAATGCCAGCTTAAGGAATACACGATACTTATTTACATTGACGCACATTTTACCTAATTGCCTTTGATGAATTGACGTGCTTTGTGAGGTTGGTTATGAGCGTTATACTGGAAGCTTTATTCAGCAGGCCTAAAGTTCACGTCAACCAGCGGCTCAAACAATCACCCGACCACTGCACACCAAATATTGTTGACTTGCTCATAGTCTTTAGCTGGTGCAATGTGACACGAGTTTTAGCACGCAGTGACCTCTGTTTCTACTATTATGCCTACGTTGTACATGGCCAAATGCCCCCACCTGATTACAAAATGCTTATTTACGCTTTTCAACACTGTGCTTTCTGGCTCAAAGTAGTGCATCAGTGCGCGACCAGAATATTTGTACCTCAGTAAAGACCCGGCGCTTAAGGAAAGAGGTAACACTTCATTAGTGACCACAAAAGAAGTGTAACAGGACCACACTGCGTTGCTTTGCTTCAGTCACCGTCTGTACTGAGCCCCAAGCTAAGCTGTCAGCAGGTCGAATGGGACTTTGGTGCAAACGAAAATGTGTGTGAAACACGTGAACTAATTCTTTTGTCAGAAGAGTGTTCACATGTTTGCGGCGCATTCTTTGAAGAAGCAGAAACGTGTTGTGGTTCCTTCCTTCCGCGTGGTGGCATGACTCTTGCTCTCACCGCGCTGTGGCGCGTGAATGTCTCGGGTAATTAATTCACCATCAGAAAGACGAATCTAATTAAAATGCGGTCGTCATTGTGACTGTAACTATTCCACTTTAGAACTCTTTAAGGCACCTACGCACGGACTGTTCTCGTCGCACCAGGAAAATTGAGCTTAATCCACGCAAAGTAGCATTGATATCTTTGTCTGTCAAATAAGTCACAGCATTTCAAATGTCATTTATAGCCGAAAAAAGGCCGGCTAGGTGTTTTTAACATACAGACTGTTTCCTGAGGGACTGAAGGTTAATTCAGACTGAATTTTAAATCTCTCTCACACAAATATCAGTGACCCAGCCCTACATCCCCAAACATTCACCTTGAAACAAACTATAAGGGACCGCCGTCAATCGGTGGATTTAACAACACCAAATGAATTTCCGTTTTAATCACCAAGGTTACTTAGCAAAAGTGGTTTATGCAGGACACCGAGTGTGATATACATGGGAAACTGGAGTTACTTCAATCGAGAAAGGCGTCCCAATTTTAAGGTCATGCGCTTAATCTTATAATGACCACATCTCGACCAGTTGAAGTGCCAAGTCCAACGTCTCATCTGAAAGGAATGCCAATGGGACTCCACACATTGTCTTTCCTTCTATCCTGCGTTTCTATCACGGCTTCCTGTTTAACCCAAATCAAAGCGTGCTCTGGAAACACACACATGCCTTAATTGCAAAATAAGTGTGGCAAAATTCTCTAAGAGACCCTTCAAAATTGGTTACACGCGCAGTGCCGCCGACACACCATTTTCAAACTTGATCCAAATTAAACGTCTGCGTAAACAGTTTTAAGCTGCTGCCTTGTAATTTCACAAAGTGATCAAGTCTTATTTGGGATAATCTTGAAGACAGATTTTGGTACACTTAGGCGCGTTCGTACTGGTCTTATGCAATTTATCCCCGAAGGTGTTGCCTTTCAATTTGCCAACACACATGGATCACTTATTATTCCGTGCAATTTATGCAGTCTGCTGGGAAAGCAAATGTTTTGTAAATCCTCACTGCTCATAAGATAATGACAAGGGCCTATCAGACAGCTTGTTCATGTGACATTAAGTCGTCCAAGAATGTGTTTTGTCACGCACTCCGTTGAAATGGTCTTGTATTAAACGTGGTTCATCATCATGGGATCCACTAGTTAAAAGATCACAAATGTAGGTTTACTTGCCGATCTGTAGTTTCTTGTCGTTGACAAAACAGCAAAATTCTCATTTACTCATAGGCTAAACGCATGATCTTTACAAGACGGCCAAAATTCGTGTTAGATGGCCAGAAAAATGGTCGTGTTTCAAGTGATTTTGGCCTACTTACTCTAATTGCGGTAAACCTGTATCTTGAGCTTCTACAAATCAGTTGCCTGGAAGTGAGCTCAAGTCTCACAACAGCGTCCTCTAGATTATATGTAGTTTTCCAGCACTTACAAATAATGAGCACACAAAACAACGGTTTCCTACTGATTTGTGGCCATGCTAAGAACCGATTTGCAGCTGAATATATGGGATTAATTTCTTGAGAGTTACGTCTTAGTGATAGCGTCAGGTTTGTAGCTGTGTGCCATGTCTACAACAAGCACACAGCTACTGAGTTGGGATGGCTAAATGATGAGGCCAGTAAAATATTTGCCTTTGCTACACCACTTCCATGATTCCTCAGAGTTCTGCTAAATTTCTTCTTCGACATTTCCCGCACTATTCCTTGAATGGCTCTAGTCTGTAATATAAATGCATTCAGCTATCAATCAACATCAGATGTATAACAATATTGGCCCAGGAACTACTGTAGTTACTAGAAAACCATTTAACAGTAACCTAATGCAATGCCCTTGAAAACTATAGAACTTCTTAAATCTCGGTAACTAAACTTTGCGGATTTATAGAGTTCAATAATTTTGAGCAGTACAACATGGTCATTGGTTACATTAAAATAAAATGCAATTAAAGATGCGATTATGGTATTAGCACATTGAAAGCTTCTAACGTCGACAAATGTGACACCTAACTTTTCGCATTTTCAGTTACTCGGTTAGCGACATCCCTCGACCTGTTTGACCACCAACTGAAACTCGAAAATCCGTTCAAAATAAATACATAAATTTATCAGACTTTGACTAGACAGCGTCCTTTTCGCTAAGGTCACTAATCTCGTGAGAGCCCAGCTATAACTTGCGCGATGATTGTCTTAACCTAATGCAGCCTGTTGTAAACAAATCAGGCTTGTCCATCCAGATGAAGCGTGCACACCGGTAACGAGAACGCAGAGCTCTTATTGGCCACTTGCCAGTCTCTGATTGTTAATCCGATAGAGCACCACTTCGCTCATTTTTGGTAATCTTCGTGGCAGATGGAGGCCAGCATTCCGTACCCGAAGTTCATTAGGAATGTGGAACCACTTCCAACTTCCCCAACACGCGACGAGGAAACAGGGCGATCAAGATATCGAAAATTCCTTAAAATTCGGACACTTGCATTTTTTGCTGTCACTGCCTTCTTTTTGCCACTGGGAATATTTCTGCTTGTCCGATTCCATGGTCCTGAAGGGTAAGTGCTGCATTATAATTGGCTTTTAATCTATGTAATGCCAAATTGTTCTTTGTTATGGACTTCGGCACAATAGGGTACAGTCGAGACAAATAAATTTGAACCGGCTCGAAGAATTCAGCCATCGAATACTTTTGACTGAGGATAAAGACGTTAAGAATACAGCGAAACATGGCTGCCATGAGAAAAGCTCCCAAAACTATCTGAACAGACATAATCAATGAAAAACAGAAAGAGTAGTGCTACATTTGCCACGGCATTTATTCTGTTTCGTTTTGTTTTATCGTTCTGGTTAGCTGGTTTGGCGTCATTTTAAACTTGTGTTTCGATTGGGAAAGCTCAGTGTATCACAACTTCAGATAGCCCATATGCAAGATAGTCTAGATGCAGCCGAACCCCGATTATTAACGAATGACTGAAAAAGTAATGATACAATACTTGAACAACTTTTAATAATGTGAACCGTTAGTTGCAATGCAGATATGCTATCGTTCAATGGCTACAAAGTTTTTGTTACTTATTTGTAATTGCAAATGGTAATTAGGATTGGATCTTATCTGGGTCAACCCAAATTCATTGCATTCTCATTCAATCTGGTCTAAAATTGACAAATAAAGCGACGAACCCAAATGCCTCCAACTTTGTAAAACAAAACCTTAAAGTACGTTCAAAGAAAGAAGTATGCCTACTCCAGATTCCTTCGTTAGTGTACGACAAGTTTATTTGGAAGTTTGATAGACGAATTTCTAAGAAAATGGCTTTAAATTAAGCAAATAGAAACATTTAACTGTCTCAAACGTTCTTGTTCTTGTCTATCACATGTAGCGATCTTAATGGTGTAGTGAATCAGGTCAATTCACTACCGCCGCCATTTTATGCATGACCGCCTCATGGAGTCACTTGGACCAGTCCCTGTGTCCGCTTCCAATCAACCCCAATGTTTATCCGAGATTATCATTACACGTGTAAACAAGCCCCGCTACCACCTTAACAACCCGAGACACGTGGGACCCGCAGGTCACGATCATGGACTATAAATGCACACGAGCGTAACATGCTGCTAGACACCTGTTTGATTGGCTCAGCAAACTCTGCGATCATTGATTTTGGTTGGCGTGCTCATCATTTTTTGAATGAAGCACCATCTGATTTCGTACATATAAACTAAATATCAAAAATGATTACTTCAATGATGTCTTTTTATTTGGTAAGCAAAACCTTTAAATGCATGAACACGAAAGCCTCACAATTCCACTCGTCTTCTATTTATTTGCCTGTAGCATGTCGGCGGATTCGTGAGAGTTGAAGCTTGGCTTAACGTGTTTACCTCAAGATTCTCAGAAGCTGTCACTCATTCTGACTAAACACGCAGCTTTATTCACAAGGTCGTTGCAAGCGCGCTCAAATGACGCTTGAATAAGAAGCTGTTCATCATCGCCTGTCAACCCCGTGTCCTTGAGTGCCATTGGTAGTAAATTAAAAGTGTTTCAAAGTCGCAGAGCACTACATTTGCTCAATCTTGAAGTTCCCAAAAACCCCTCCTCAGGTTACAATGACTGGCCTTCGGCGAAAAATCCTAATCCGGAAATAACTTTTCCGTCAAGTTTACTCCGTACGTTCCAAAACCTGGTAAGGTTTCTGCAAATCCACGTACGTTTTCCTAATCAGAAGACCATCGTTCATTTCTGGTGCTGTTGCTGCAACTGAAACTATCGGCTTAGCTGACCGAATATCCTCCTTCGAGTTACAACTTCTAGAAGCTGACGTGAACGTTTCGAAGTCTGTCACTCACCCTGACCATGACCTAAGACTTCTGTACAAAGTTTTATAAGCATGCTCACGCGTCTAACGTGAAAACGGGCGAATGAGGACTACGTCTGTCGTCGTCGATTCCGTCTTTGTTGGGAGCTACGGCTAGTAGGTAATCGAGGTTGCTAGGTAGTATATCGCCACATACCAACCCTATTTGGCGAATCGGAGATGTCCACACCGTCATAGAGTTAAAACCACTTCTCGGAAGATAGCCCACCAGCACGCTAATGCGTTTTGTCAGTTTGTCTCTCGATTCCTTTTACGTACTTGCCTTTGG